ATGGCGGCCGCGTCGGCAAATCTTTCGCCTGACGCTGCATGAAAGTGCGACTATGCTGCTGTGTTGCACTAGTCACGTCCGCAGCGGAGCCTGCCATAGGCTCGGTTCCGTCCCGCTGGAGTTTGAAGGTCCCCTCGGCGGTCCCTTAACCAAAATCCCACCAGCCGTTTGGGCGTGAGTGGTTTAGAGAGCCCGCTCTGTTCTCAACCCCCCTCTTCCCCTTCGGGGAGGGGTTTACCCCTCCCCCTACCCCCTCCCCCTGGGCCTGGAGAGGGCGTCTCGCGGGTCGTTGGAGGGGTCTGTTTCGACTCCTGGGAGGGCTAACATTCGACACCCCTCACGAGGATTCTGGCCCCGACGGGGGGGGGAGAAACGTGCTCGCCCCATCTGTGATCGATCGCCCGACAGATGGCCCCAAGATTCCTCCCAGACCCCTCCCAAAGAGTCCCAAGAGGCCCCAAGAGGCCTCCAAGAGGCCCCCAAGATGCCCCCAAGAGGCGCCCAAGAGGCCCCAAGAGGCTCCCCCGAGGCACCCAAGACGCTCCTGGAAGCCCCTGGAGCCGCCAAGAGGCCCCCAAGACGCCCCAAACGGCCTCCAAGAGGCTCCCAAGAGGCCCGAAGAGGCTCCCCCAAGGCACCCAAGACGCTCCTAGAAGCCCCTGGGGCCGCCAAGAGGCCCCGAAGACGCCCCAAAAGGCCTCCAAGAGGCTCCCAAAACGACTCACACCACGACGAGGGCCCCGAACGACTCACACCACGAGGAGCCCGAACGAGTCACACCAGGAGGAGGGGCCCGAACGACTCACACGACGACGAGGGGCCCGAACAACTCACACCACGAGAAGCCCGAACGACTCACGCCAGGACGAAGAGCCCGAACGACTCACATCACGAAGAGCCCGAACGATTCACACCAGGAAGAAGGGCCCGAACGACTCACACCAGGACAAGAAACCCCAAACGACTCAAACCACGAGGAGCGCTTTCTCTCCCTCCTCCTCCGCCTCGTCCTTCTCCCGCTCCCACCACAAGGAGGATGTACAAGGAGGCGGGAGGAAGGAGGAACAGGGGAGATATGCGGGGGCAGGCGGAAACACGCCTGAAAAACACGACTGTCGGCATGCTTCGCAAGAGTTGCTGTTTTGAGATGGGCTGGTGGGGATACGCGAAGCGTAAAGAATTCCAAGGAAAAGAGCCTGCTGGGCCCGTTCGGGCCCCTCGCAGGCTTCCTGTGTGGCTTTTGACAGTGTGAAACTCTGGCACAGGCGTGTGGGCTGCATTGGCGGTCACATCACTACTGTCGTCGACCTCGTACTCGTGTGTCATGACCTGTCGCCAGTGCACTCGACGCACCAGTCGTTGTAGAAGCGATACCGTATCATCCGCCCGCGGCTCTGCATCTCCATCGCTGTCATCCTCTCGCTCAGTCAGCTGATCTCCTTCAGCTGCATCCGGTGGTCGCTGGGGCAGATCCTCTTCCACATTCTGTTTTGGTTGCGTTACTCCTGGTTCAGGCCCAGGTTGAATTCCTGGGGGTACATGGTGGTCGAAATCATCCAGACCTGGTCCCCCAACTGCTCGGTCCAGACGGTCGCGTGCTACTCGTAGTGCCTCTTGTGCCAGACGCACCTCCATCCACCATTCATCCACTGAGCTCCGAGCAATAGCAGCCATTGATCGTGCATACTGGTGCCGTCGTGATACTCCTCCTCCTCCTCCTCCTCCTCCTCCTCCTCCTCCTCCTCCTCCCCCCCCCTTCCAGCCCCGCCCCCGAGGAGCTCGGCCACAAGGGGCTTCCCACAGGAAACTCAAGCCCGAATCCGCAGGATGTCCACTGATTTCTTGCATGAGAGCGTCGCGTTTTCCAACGTGAGACTACCGAAATCCAAAGACCATGGCACCCTGGAGGGAAACATGGCATGTCTTGGCATGGGCTCCGGCCTGCGGGCACGACCCTGCCGCCGACGCCTTGGAGGTGGAGGATGGAGGAGGAAGGAGGGAGGCAGGAGGAGGGATGAGGGAGGAGGACGAGGGAGAGGTGAGGAGGGAGGAGGGAGAGGAGGGAGGAGGGAGAGGAGAAGGAGGAGGAAGAGGAGGAAAGGCGGGGGAGGAGGAGAGAGGAGTCCACCTGACCGTCTACGGGGACACAAAGTGCCGTAGGCGAAGCAACTACCCTCTGCCACCGAGTCCCAAACCCCACCCCGAGTCCGCCAGCCAATCGATTCTTTCAACGGAATGCGTCCGTTAATATTACAAATGCCCCCTCACCGTCCTCCTATGTCTCCGCCCCGTCTTCACTGTCCTTCCACTGACGATTGTCCTGCCCCGACCCCCTTCTTTCCCGCCTCACGCCCATCCTCCTCCGCACCCTCCTGTTCCTCACCACATGTTTCAAAACCCTCACGTCATCCTCCTCCTGACCCTCCCGCTCGTCCCCCTCCAACCATTTGTCCTCTTCCGCATCCCGCTCTTTCGTATGCTAGTGCTCAACATCCTCATCCTCCTCATCATCCCCCTCTTCCTGCTCACCCCCTTCTGCCGCGTCATATTACACCGGAGCGCTGCAAAATCACCTTCACCTCAACCTCCCCATGCCCATCCTCCTCCTTCAGCCACTCCTCCTCTCGCCTCCGCGAACTCCTCCTTCTTGTCCAATTGCTCGACCTCTTCATCCTACTGCTGAATACCCCCACCCAAGCTTCCCCCAGCTCTTTCTCGCCCTCCTCATCCTCGACGCATCTTGCCCCCCTTTCGCTGCTCCACGGCTTCCTCCGCGTCTTTCCCCTGGTCCCTCCACGTCGTCCTCCTCGTCCTCGCCGTCGTCGTCTTCAGGGTTGGCGGCACCGGCCGTAAGGCCTTCGCAATCAAAGCAACGCAACGCAATGTAACGCAACGCGAAGCAATGCAAAGCCATGAAATTCAAAGCACCGCAAAGCAATGCAAACCAGAGCAACACAACGGCAGGCAAATCAATCCGTGCAAAGGAATGCAAGGCAGATCAGATGAATGCAAAGCAACGCGAAGCGGGGCAAAGCGACGCAACGCGATGCAATGCGATGCAAAGCAACGCAACGCAATGCAATGCAACGCGTGCGTTGCAAAGCAAAGCAACGCAAAGCAAAGCAGAGCAACCTCGTAGAGCAATTGCCGCCCCACGGCCGCCAAGATGGCCCTGGCGCTGCCGAAGTGCAGCCGCGTCATCCTCATCCGCCCCTTCTCCTCATTCCTTCTCCTTCTCCGCCGCCTCATCCTCCTTGTCCTGCTCCGCCTCCTCCCTTTCATCTCTTACTTGTGCCATCGACAGCGCCTCAAACAAGCTGCAGCAAGGAGGCCAAAGGGGCAGCATCGAAAACATTTGTTTCCAGCGCACGATATTCGTTTTGTCTGTTCCCAGAGCGAGATGACACCACGGATGAGGAAAAAGACGCGTCTCAAATGCAACCTCTTTGTTGCACCATATCGAGCACTCCATGCCCCTGAACCCCTTTCAAAGCAGGGTGCAACAGAGCACGGGTGGCACTACATATGAGGAATGGAACGCGCCTCAAATGCAACCTCCTTGTTGCACCATGCCGGGCACTCCATGCCCCTGGACCCCCGTTCAAAGCAGGGAACAGCAGCACACGGGCAGCATCGAAAACTAATGTAATGGAACCAACTCTTGACCAGGTCAAAATCGAGAGCCACGCACACCTCCTCCTCCTCCTCCTCTTCCTTCTCCTCCTCCTCCTCCCCCTCCTCCTCCCCCTCCCTCTCTTCCTCCTCCTCCTCCTCCTCCTCCTCTTCCTCCATATCCTAATCCAACACTGTCCCTTACAAATAGCTCCACCCTGTCGCACCCCTCGACGTCTGGGTAGGGCGGGCCAGGCGTTTCGCCCGAGACTTTCTAACCATCTATGGCCTTGAACCTTGAAATTGACAGCAACGTCAAGGATGGAAGGGGTCGTTTTCAAAATGTGACTCTCGCCTCGGCGCCGCGCATTTTCGCCTTAAGCGTGTGCAACAGCTTGAAGCATGGAGGAAGGTCGTTTCCGAAATGGAGCTCTCGCCTTAGCACCGCCATTCGTCGTACTGTTTGCAGTCGTTTCAAGGATGGTGGGGCGCTTCCTTTTCAAAATGGGGCTCTCGCCTTAGCGCCGAGCACATTCGTTTCAAAAGTTTGCAGCGCACTCAACTATAATGTAGGACGGTGTCTTTCTTCTGCACCTACAGGGATTGTTGGGGGGGGGCCCAGCGCCGCGCACATTCGCTGCAGAAGCTTTCAGCAACTACAGGGATTGTTGGGGGGGCTCCTTCTCAACATGCGACGTTCGCTGCTGATTCGGTTCACTTTGAAAGGCTTGGAGCTTGAACGTCGAGAGGATCTCAAGCGAATACCCCATTTGGAAGCAAGCCGCCCTCCATCCAAGCAGCTGCACCACATGTTCAACCTTCTGGTGGTGAAAGAGATCTACGCCGAGCGTCCAATGTTGACAAGAAGCCCCGTTTTATCCGTGCAGCTGCCGTGCAGCTGTTGCATCTGTTAATGGCCAGAAGTGAGATCCCGTGCATTGGTTACATAGAATGGGACCCTATTTGTTTCAACATGGGGATGTCACTCGACACCTCGTTGAACCGTAAGATCGTACCTCCGCGCGTTCCTGATTACTCGCTGTTCTCGCCTGAAAGGTGGACTCATAGGGTGCTGGTCTTTCAAAGGCTTGCTTCTTGACGGAAAAAGAAGGCGCATAGGGACGCATGAGAGGGGGACTTTGGACGGGGGGGCGTACTGCAACATCCTTAGTGCATCTTGGGTTTACTCTGGTCCTCCTCCTACTCCTTCTCCTCGTCCTCCTCTTCTTCCCTTGTTCCTTCTCCCGCACCCTCTTCCCTCCCCGAGAGAGCGCTCCCGCATTCTTAAGAGCACGATCGGGGGGACGAGAGAGAGGAGCCGAAGGAGAATGACGCCACTTCAAGAGGAAGGAGGAGAAGGCGATGAGAAGGAAGCCAGTGCGGTGCTCCTCTCCCGGATAACATATCTTGGGAACCGGCGGCAAGAGCACCTTCGTGCCCCTCTCCACGTCGCCCGTGGAGGGGTCTGGCTCTAGCGGGCGCCGAGGCCATCGTCGTCGTCTTCTTCCTCTTCCTCCACCTCCTCCTCCTCCTCCTCCTCCTCCTCCTCCTCCTCCTCCTCCTCCTCCTCCTCCTCCTCTCTTGTGTTCCTCATCCTCACCATCCCTCCTCCTCAGCCTGATCACCCCCCTCCTCCAGCCCCGCGCGAGCGCCCGCGCGCGTCCCCTTCCGCCCCCCTCCTCCCCCCTCGGGCGCTCCCCCACGCGCAGGAGGGAGGAGGGTGCGCCGACGCGTCCGACCGTGCGGAAGTCTTGCAGCGCCATCAGGTCTTCGTTCGGCGCTCCAAACCACTATCGCATCGCCACGGCCGGGCAAGCCAGCCGGCACGAGCAGAGATCCCCAAATCCGCCGATTTGGCGTGTGAGGTTCTGAGTGCGTGGACTTGTTCTCGCTCAAGCTTTGAGGCTCCCCGCGCGCCCTCTGGGGCCCCCAGAATGGTCCCGCATGACTTTTTCGAGCCCAAGAGAGGCCCAAGACGGGCCGACAGGACCCCACGAGGCCCTCAAGACGGCGTAAGAAAGCCCCGAATAATCGAACGATCGGTCCAAAAAGCCCAAGATGGCCCCATGGCCTTTACCATTATAAGCATCGTCGTCATCATCACCACCATCATCATCATCATCATCATCATCATCATCATCATCATCAGCTGCAGCAGCAGCAACAGCAGTATCATCATCATCATCAGCATCAACATCACCATCACCATTATCATCACCACCACCATCATCATCAGCATCATCGTCATCATCAGCATCATAATCATAATCATCATCATCATCATCATCATCATCATCATCATCATCATCATCATCACCATCGGCATCATCATCATCAGATTCATCATCATCATCATCATACTCAGCATCATCCTCATCATCATATTCATCATCAGTACCATCATCAGCATCAAAAACATCATCACCATCGTCATCATCAACATCAGCATCGTCACCATCACTATCACCATCACCATCACCATCATCATCAACATCATCAACATCATCATTATCCGGAGCGCCCCGGATCGGCGGCACTGGCCGGAGGCCAGCACAATAAGGAAGGCAGCGAAGGGCCGCGGGGTGGACAGAACCTGAAAGCGCCATACCGACTCGAATTCAAGGCGAGCGAAGTGGCCCCATGCCTTCTGCCCCGACCGAGTTCTAGCCTCAATCGCTTGAACTCCAGCGTCTTTTGCAGAGACCCGCATGAGAAGCGAGCCCACTCTCTGGCGCGGGCCTCCTTGCGCCCGTCGCCTCGAGGGGGAGGAGGGGAGAGGCAGGAAGGAATGAATAAAAAAGGAGATGGGGGATGACAAGCATACGGTAGGAGGAATACGAAAGAAAGAAGGGTGCCCCACACTCCTCCCCCCAACGCACTCCGCTCTGCAGATGTTAAGCGTGTTGTGATTATTGTCTGGTGAGTGCGCGTTGAGCCCACACGCCCGCACAGCATCACCGTTCCCGAGGAGCAAACCGCGGCTTCACCGCCACGACGGGCGGCTAAGGAAAGGGCCAGCGAAGGGCAGATGGAAGGAAGGGGGACTGACGGGGCTAGGAGTGTTGATAGCGCGCGGGTACGCATCCCATCTCTCTCCCTCCCTCCCTCCCTTCCCCTTCAAGACGGCTCGAAATGGCCACGGAGCCTCCCGAGGACGCCCTCGAGATCCCCAACTCCTCACATAACAAATGTGATTAGGTAATGTGCACCTTCTTCTGGTTGCTTATGATGGGCTTCTGGGGCCTCAAGATGGCGCCTGATGGCGCCTGAAGAGGGCTCTAATGGACGGGTTGTCTGGCTCCAGAGGGGCAGTGCCAATCGCTCCCCCAAGAAGGCCCGCAAGGCCACTGAGAGAGGCCCAAGGGAGCGCCCAAGGCTTCCAAAATTGCTTCAACTGTGCCCGAAGATAGCCCCCTGAATTCTGTAAGAAACCGCCATGTCGAAGAAAAAACGCGACGGCCTTTACGGACGACTCTTTGGACTAATCAGGCTCATCCTGAGTTTCGGTTTGGCGGCTACCTCCCTCTTTGTTTCACTGCATGTGCCAACACTTCCCTGAAACTGACAACTCGCCTGGAGATCGTTTCCGGATGGGCTGGTGGGGACACGCGGAGCGACACAGTGAGTTATTGCACTGTCGAGGTGAACTCTAAGCGGAGTAAGCTATGTCGTGTAAGCTACGTCGTATAAGCTATGCGGCATGAACTATGGAGTTGAAAGCTGCGCGGTGCAATACATGTGGTTGAAAGATACGTTGGGTAGAAAAGCGCGTTTCTTTATGTTCGGCGATGATGGGCGTCATGGGGGGGGGGGCGAGGGGGGGTATGACGTAACGCCCCCCCCCCCCCCCCGTGTGGCTGTGGCACCGCAGCCGCGCCCGCGCACGCGACGCGACGAGCGACGAGCGACGAGCGACGACGACGACGACGACGACGACGCGAGCAGCATGTGGGTGGCGATATGCCCCACTGCGCCTGTGTACACCACAACGTTCGCGTGCACCACAACTCGCGTGTATACCACAGCGCCTGCGCACACC